ACGTCTTCTAATTTGTTATTTGAAAAACGGAATAATGACGTGACGTTATTTTCATTGTTTGACTTTATTCTTTTATATTTACATTTCTACTATCACTCCCTTCAATAAACCAGTTAGCCAAACCAGCGTTTATTTCCCCATAACGATAACAAGATCAACATTCATTCCTTGCCTTATTGTCACGTGACAAACTACAGTTATTGGAAAATAAACGCCGGTTTGGCTAACTGGTTTATTGAAGGGAGTGATAGTAGAAATGTAAATATAAAAGAATAAAGTCAAACAATGAAAATAACGTCACGTCATTATTCCGTTTTTCAAATAACAAATTAGAAGACGTTTTCTCAATTCGCTCTGTAGTTTTAACAGAGAAACAGCAGAAAAATGTATTGATTGGTGAACATTATCTGGGACAGAACTGCATGGTGATGATTTAGCAGATCTAGCCACATTAAATAGATCTTCTTGTTCATTACTTATGGCAGAATTACACCAAAAATTTAAAGAAAAAAAAACACGGTAAATATTTCTTTTATACTAAATAATGTAACGTAGCTGTGATGAAATCTCCCAGAAGAACTTGTTGCTGAAGATTTTAGTTTCTACAGCACACACTATAGTTTAGATGATGCTAAAGAACCGACACGTTCTGTTGATGAATATCTTCTGTCAGTAGATTGTGAAGATGTCACGAATGATGGACAAAACATCAACCTCCAAGATACACCTTCAAATATTTATTGCTGGCATACTGATTCCTTTTTAAATGGAGGATTGGCAAGACATACCAACTGTATTCAACTTGACGCTTACTTGATAGGTCGTTTCATTGTGGAATTAAATCCGAGGAAAAAGAAACGAGGAATTGTGTCGGTAAGACTAAGACTATTTTAAAAAAATGTTTCATTTGCTTACTTCAGACTTCATCTGTTCGTAAATAGTAACATTAAAAAAACATTGACGACTTGTGATCAGCAATCATGGTACCCAACAACAATGGAGTGTTGAGCTTCTCCAACTGCTGCTGTATTATAGGGTTTAACTCAAAAGTTTATAAATGGCACAAATCTCGTATAATCGACCATATTTCTTGTAGCCAAGTGTTATTTTAAAATTGATTCAAGTATTTATCTTTCGTTTTGTCTCGATTGAAATTACATGTTTTAATACAAGTTATTATTTTAGAACCCAATCTCTTTAACTCGCTCTCTCTACATAACGATAGCAGATCTTCTAGACTATAAAACTATTTTCTCATCAATATTTTATCTGCTATAAAACTAATGTGTCGACATGCAAACTACAGCTCTATCTTCAATACATTACAAATTAATCTTAGCTTTGATTTCACCACACTACTAGTAAAACCCAGCACATCAAAGAAACCTTCTAATCTCAGTCAACAAAGCTTGTCGGACACAGTCATATTATGGAGAATTCATAAGTAGGCTAATGATTTTTTGGCAATGAACATATAAAGTTGAACTGTTTGATATTATGCAACAAATGTATTGCCAAATTGTTATAATTTAATTTATTAACTCATTAGTACACAAAATATTTGATTTAGAGTTTCGTTTTGTGGTTCTGGTCGTTTGTATTTTATTTTTAATCATATTAAGACACAATATTTCATTCGTCGAGTAAGTCGGTCAATTATTTGACACAGGGTTCAGGGCATTAGAAACCCATACAGATAAAGATTCTCTAAATAGTTATCTCTTCGCACAAATGGATAACGTAAATGGATACAGTTGTCCAATTTGGTTATGATTTGGTACAGTTGCCAAGTCTGCATTATATTGACAATCAATTTTATGTACATTTTCTTTGTGTCTTCATATAACTCATTGTTTTTTATGTTCGTCCCCATGGGCTGAATGTTAAGCAGGACCAAATAAATTGGCGTAAAACAATAACGTCGGCTATAAATAGATTGATTTAAGGACTGAATGTGGATTTGT